TGTGTGTGTGTGTGTGTGTGTGTGTGTGTGTGTGTGTGTGTATGTGTGTGTGTGCGTGTATATATATATATAGAAAAGGGTGTATTGTATATCTATAGATATGAGCATATATCTAAGCACATTCAAACAGTTATGAAGAATATCTGAGTGTTGTTATGAGAATTTATCCATTGAATATAGTTCACAGACTCACCTTTCTCGATATAGAGAGTTCCGGGCTCTTTATAAGTATATCCTGCTGACAATACGAGTGTATCTCCTGGATCAGCGGCCATTATTTGTTTTGTCAAAGCACCTTCCTCTTGTGGTACATAAGTATTCGCAACTGATAGATCAGCTTGCTTCTCTGTGTCTATTGCAGCGAAACACGAGCTTGCTAGAAGTGCCAGAGATAGAGCTAGTCGAGAATTAGTGAGCCCCGTCATGATTTTAGAAGAGTGCTTCAATCGTAGCAAGCAAGCAAGAGTGTGTCGTAAAAATCTGACAATAGGTATCCGTTATTTTTATTTGCTATCGTATTTAAATGCATGTGGAAAGTCTTTATGGGAAGTCTTTAGGAATGTAATACCCTGCGACACAATCACATCCAAAAGTACTACACTATGTACTACATGAATGCTGATATATTTACTTATTTAGAGTATGTAATACTTCCGCAGCAAGCCAGTGCATATATCCATATACACAATATATTGTGTACAGGTACATATATTCATGTATAAAATGTGATTGTAAATTTTTACTAAAGGTTTGAGTTGTTAGACGTTAGTAGTAGTAGACTAGTCTACAACTCTAATTACATATACTACTTTCTAGCAGTGAATATATAAGTATTCATTGGACAATAATCAAAATAAGTGAATTTTAATTGGTGTAAATAAGGAATGAAGAGGTTATGATTTTAAAATTTAATATGTGAGGAGCAAACTTGGAACTTGGAACTTGGAACAGTGAGGAACACAGTTCGTTTCTCGTTACATATGTACATGTTTTAAAATAAATCGTTTTTACGTTATAGATAAACGGATACATATCTAAATCTTTTTACGTTCTGGTTTGTTTTTATAAAAAAAGTATTACTCCTTCTCTCTATGTATTCAGGATTTAGGGTTTTTTTAGGAACCCAAAAAAAACTCAAAATAGGTGAATTACTGAATTCAGATTACATAAATAAAAGGTGTGCGCTAAATTGATGAAGTCGAGAGACTAGTAGAAGAGCGACACCTGTTTTCCGCTCTAGACCCAAATCCAGATTGCCATGTACGCCAACCATGCATCTGGTTCTCGCATATATACTCGTTGGTTAGTAGTGATGCGGTGAGAGTCAACAGCAGTCTGGTATCGCTAATCACACCGGCTATCGTACTGGCTATCGCTCTGACTACCGTATTCTCAGCACAATAAATACAGGTACACATGTGGTTTTGCACAATTTACAAAGGACCACTTGTATGCAAGGTTGAACTTCATTTAGACTGAGCGGCGTTGTCACGCAAGTGGCAGAAAACTTTACTTACTTAGACTACGGTTTGTAATGTATATTTTTAACTAAGACTAAGGTTCGTATTGAACACCGTTGGCCCACACGCAAGCATTATCAATATAGACTTAGACGTATGCATACTACTTTAAATCACCGTTTTTACATTCGTCAGTATCATCTGCATTAACTCAGAATACGCACACGATTCAATACACTTCTTTATTCAGCAAATTAGTTAGAGTCCGCTGCTGTTGCATGAGACAACCCCGGAATAGATTCGCATACACCAACGCATTATCGCTACAAAATATAAGTACATACAAATTTAGAGTTATATACATAGATATCAGTGCACAAACGCACCCACCCACACTCTCACACATACACCCACCCATCCG